GGAGGGAGGGGAGAAAGGATCGAGAGAGGGCCTTGAGATATGGATTTAAGGCTGACAGAGGAAGAAAACTCAGGGAAAGGATGGAGATGTAGCTGGAGGCAGAAGAAAACCAGAGGCGTGAGGTGAGGCAGGAACCGCAGGGAGATCACTCCAACATCACTGGGCCTGTCTCCCCAGGCCAACACTGGGGCAACATGGATATTCAGGGGTGACTCTGGGGAGGATGGGTGTTGTGGTTGGGCAGGCTGGGGGCAGGGACTGCTCCTCCTCTGGACAGAAGGAAAGGGGAAGGTTTTTAGGGTCTGGGTGCAGGAGGCCAAGGGATTTCTCAAATGCTGACCATTCTCTTCTGAGCGGGAGAGACAAGCTGGTGGGGTAAGAGATTTGAGGGGAACAGGAAATCTGAAATAGTGTCCATGAAGAAGGAAAGAGACCGATTTCGGGATGGTGGATGGATGGAGCACAATTTCCATGCTGAATAAAAAGCAGACTAATGCATACTTAATAAACAGCAATAACATGGGACAAATAATAAAATACAAACTCTCAGAGGACCAGAGACCTGGAGAATCTCTAAGGGAATGAAAGCAGGCTGGAAGCCACGGCAGTAAAGCAGGGGCCACAGCAAAACTGCTAACATAGAGGTTAAATGCAGGATCCCATTCACCCAGCAGCTACTGCACACCCTCCATGTGCCAGACACTGTTCTAGGCACTGCTGTCTCCTGTGAAAGAGGAGTGCAAACTGAGAATCAGAAAAAAATGCGGAAGGACTGCCTGGGTTCAGTGGGGAGTAGAGACCGTACACTGGCAGAGGGGCGCAGACTCATCTAAACAGTTCACGACTCTTCTTCCGCCACCGAAGTGTGCAAGCAGAGTTGGCTTGACCTAAATTTTGCTTTGCTGAATGGGGACAATGGAAAGGTAACAGGTGCGAGAGATGTGATGATGTTAGAGAGAAAGCAACTCAGTCAGTTATTTTCGAGCTGGACTTGCCAATCCCACATGTGATCTAATTATTCATAGACTACTTGGTCAGCAGCCATCCTGGAAGACAGAGCCAACACCTGCCTCATAGGCAACCATATTTTAAAACAGATCTTCTCTGACTCGTATATGCATGGTGAAAGTGAAAGTGTTAGTCGCTCAGTCGTGTCTGACTCTTTGTGACTTCACGGACTGTAGCCCGCCAGACTCCTCTGTCCATGAAATTCTCCAGGCAAGAATACCTGAGTGGGTTGCATTTCCTTCTCCAGGGGATCTTTCCCAGGCAGGGAACAAACCTGGGTCTCCGCATTCCAGGCACTCACTGTCTGAGCCGCCAGGGAAGCCCCATGCACAGAGATCTCGTCCAAGTGCAGGTGCTGATTCAGCAGGGTTCGGTGGGGCCCGAGATCCTGCCTTTCTAATCAGCTTCCGGACACAGATGTTGCTGCTGGTTCACATACCGTTCTTGGAAGAGTACGGTTTTGAAAGGTTTTGCTTTAGTATGGGGGAGACCTGTTTTGTACTATGGTGCAGCTTACCAGTGGAATGCTGGAGCTGGCTGACTGTTACACTTTCAGGAATTCTTCTAGATGACTGACATCATGTTGACAGCCTGAAACTGGCTGTAATGGGAGCTTCTGTGCTATGGAAATGCCCAAATGCTATAAATCAGGACTTTCCTGCTTCCCTTTGCAGAGCTGGCTGCTAAACACTTACTGGCACTGCTGCTGCTGCTGCTGCTAAGTCGCTTCAGTCGTGTCCGACTCTGTGCGACCCCATAGGCGGCAGCCCACCAGGCTCCCCCGTCCCTGGGATTCTCCAGGCAAGAACACTGGAGTGGGTTGCCATTTCCTTCTCCAATGCATGAAAGTGAAAAGTGAAAGTGAAGCCGCTCAGTCGTGCCAATTCTTAGCGACCCCAGGGACTGCAGCCCACCAGGCTCCTCCGTCCATGGGGTTTTCCAGGCAAGAGCACTGGAGTGGGTGCCACTTCCCTCTCTAACTTACTAGCACATCAATGGCTAAATCTGTATAACAGTGAAACATGGATACAGTGGGTTTTGGCATCAGGGGTCATGAAAGCATGTGCCATTCACACCTTGATAAAGAGGCCACCTGTCCCAGATGTACACTAAACAAAGAACCTGCTGGAGGCATGACAGGAACTGATCATCTCTGCCGCCTCAGAGTAACCAACAGAGGTAGATGCCTGGGTCACCCTGTCCTCCACCCAGAGAAGCAGGCTGTGCAAGGAGAGACGGGGACTGGTAGGCTCCTTTGAGCAAAGGGTGACTTGCAGGAAATTCTCAACCACATCGCACCGCGCTTCCCTGGCTATCCCCGGGCAGCAGGCTGACTGCTGTGGGGTGTCAGCCTGCCCTTTCTAGGACCCACGGCTGCCCTGATAGGCTGATACTTTATCTGGAGTTGCGAAATGTGAAGACCGAATCTCAACAAAGGCAGAGCAGAACAGGTTAACCTTCCACGATATCTGCTTTACTTAGTGACCTTTAAAATCAAGGCAGAGATGGGACTTCCCTGGCGGTCCAGTGGTTAAGACTTTGCCTTCTAATGCAGGGGGTGAGAGGTTCGATTCCTGGTCAGGGAGCTGGGATACTACATATCTCAAGGCCAAAATACCAAAACACAGAAGAGAAGCAGTGTTATAACAAATTCAATAAGGACTTAAAAAATGGTCCACATCAAAAATAAAAGATCTGAAAAAATAAAAAACTAAGGCAGAGTTTTATATATCTATGTGTGTGTGTGTGTGTGTGTGTGTGTGTGTGTATACACACACACGCATATACACGTTTAAGTAAACCAAGTGAATCCCATTTGGTGACAGTTTGGGGAGGAAAATGAAATCTCTCAGCTCTCAAAGGGCATCTCCTATTTTCTGACCTGGGGGTCAGGCAGTTTTAATTTCCTCTCTCCCTCTCTCTGTTTTAATTTCATGAACCCGCTTAAGGCCACAAAGACTCCTGAACCCCTCAGCTGTCCGGCAGATGAACCGCTGCCAGCTTCTCTCAGGTTACTAATGCCCTGTGCCAGGCTGAAGCTCCCCAGCCCGGCCTGAGCGCACCTTCCCGTCTGACTGCTGGGTGATATGGCCGGGTTCTTCGGGGCTTCCGTGGGGAAGGCGGCCGGGAGGCGGGCCGACCCTGAGCCGCTCTGGCCCTGGAAGAGTGGCTCCTGGACGTGTGTCCGCTGCCACTGGCCCCGCTGGTGTGGGCGGGGCTGGATGGGGCCCCAGGGGTGCAGGGGAATGCTGGGCCGCGAGCGATGTTCACGAAGGGAAAAGCTTTTCTTCCTGTCGGCCAGCTTCCGAGCAAAATGGGGTTAGTAACTGTTAGTCCCTCAGTTGTGTCCAACTGTGATTCCATGGACAGTAGCCTACCAGGCCCCTCTGTTCATGGAATTCTCCAGGCAAGGATACTGGAGTGGGTAGTGATTCCCTCCTCCAGGGGATCTTCCCGACCCAGGGATCAAACCCGGGTCTCCTGCATTGCAGGCAGATTCTTTACCATCTGAGGCACCAGGGAAGCCAAATGGGGTTCAAGTCCCCTGATAATGGCTCTGCTCCTCACCTCGGGGTCCAGGTGGGAGAACAATGGTGTGATGACCTGCCACTCCAAGTTGGAGGGTTTTACAAGGAGGGCTGAGAGGTGGTGTGCCTGTGTGTGTGGGAATCAAGGGGTAGAACACGGTTGGTTGCAGCTCCCCTTTTCAGGGGAGAAGGAGGCATGGAGCAGGGGGAGGCAGGGGTTGGTCCTCAGAGACGGCGGTCTCCCGCGGCTGGATAAGGCACCTCTCCATCTCTAGCCAACTCCTTCTCTTGCATCTGTTCTGTTCGTTTGCCAATTATCACATGAGCGCTATGCGCAGGCATGAAGCTAGTGCTGTGGAGATAGAGTTGAGGACAATATGTCTCTATCCTCTTAGGACAGAAACAGAGGAACTGAATGGGATGGGAAAGAAGAGAGGGAAAACTTAACCACTAAACCCAAAGATCTGCCAAAAATGCTTTGACTCTCAGTCTTGCTGGTCCTGCTTCCTGCCCCAGGCGTGTCTGTTTCTCCTCCCCGGGATCCTCTCTCCAAGAAGGTGCGTGGAGTGGGGATGGAGCGGTTCACGGGAAAGGACAACAGGCTGGAGAGGACTCAGGCAGGCAAGAGCGGGAAGACCTGCAGCCAGGATCTGAGGATCTGCGCTCCATCCCCTGGTGACCTCAGAACACCGAGGAGATGCCTGTCGCGTGGTCCTCCTCGGACATAAATGCTGAGCTAGAGCCATCACTAACCACACACATGTCTAGGAGAAGCTTTAGAAAAAAGGAGAGACAGGCTGTACTGTAATTCTGTAGAGATGGAAGGGTTGTGGCGTTTCCTCAGTGCATACGTGTATGTGTGTGTTTGTGCTTAGAGCTGCTTGCCTGGGGCACGGCTCACCCAATCATCTAAGGATGCAAGAAACTGCCCGAGCTCTCAATTGCTGGACTCAGTGGCAGACAACAGCGCCAAGGCCAAAGGCAGCGTAAGAAAAAGCTGTCTGGCGCAGGTGGGGGCGGGGGGTGGTGGTCACACCAACCCTGCCTGCTTCATCCTTGCCCCTTGGGGCTCACAGGGCCCACTGACACTCGCCAATCTATAAAGCCTACAGCAGGACAGAGGAAGGTGCAACCTTAGCATTTGTCAGGGGCTGCTGAAACCTTAGGGGCGCAAGACGGTCCCTTCCCCTGGAGAAGGCTGCCCTTCAGGGCACCGCCTATAGAACACAGTGGTGGAACCACAGCAAGTCTGTAGGCATCAGTCCATGGAGCAGGGGTTTGTTCCATGGGAACTCCCCTCTGCACCAATACCAGAAGCTTCCAGAATGGATGGCAACCAGAGTGTTAACTAGAGAAACATGGGGGGTTAAGACAAACACACGCACCCTCTCCCAGCAGAGAAGCTCCACACCCACAGGCGCCGCTCGCGACCACGTCAGGCCAGGAGTGCGAGGTCACCTTTACCTGCTCCGGGTCCCACCACGTCCCGGCTGGGGGACTCAGCCATGGCGTCGGCCAGCCGCTCCCGCAGGCCCTCCTCGCTGTGCTCCGTGGAGGCCATGTGCCGCAGCCCAAAGCCCTCTGGCCAGCTCCCGCACACCTCCAGCAGGGTCACGCTCCGGTCCAAGGTACCTGCAGCACACGGGGACATCCGACCTGAGTCACCTTGCCGAGGGCAGGCTGTTCTCAGCGCTGGCCCACCGCCACCTCTCCGGCCCCGCCCGGGGCCTGTTTCAGCCCTTCTGAAGGATGGAGAAGGTAACACCATGAAACACGGATGCTCAGGGCAGAGCAAGACAGCTCACGCCACCAGCTCAGGGCATGGAGACCTCCACGGTGTGGGGCTAGTAGTTTTTGAACTGTTTTCTTTTTCTTTTTTTCCCTACTGAGTGGCTTTTAAGACCTTTATTCCCTGACCAGGGATTGAACCTGGGCCCTCAGCAGTGAAAACATAAACAGTCCTAACCAAAAAGAGTCCTAACCCCTGAACTGCCAGGGAATGCCCTGAACTGTTTTCTGAGGACCTGCAGGGTTCCTCTGAAGTCTTCAGGGAATACTTCAGGCTGGAGGTCAAGGGCAGTGAACTCCTTGCCCAGGTTCAAGCAAAATTCCCCTACTTGACTCTGGTAATGCAACAGGGCTTCCCCTAAAGCTTCATGTTTCAAATGGCTTACCTAGTCCACATTAAAAAAAAAAAGTTTTCAAAGCCACTATAGCCTCTAACCTATACCAAACGTCCTCATTTTACATCTGAAGCTCAGAAAAGTTATGTCCCAAGATTTAACAGCAGGTTTGTGGGCCAGTTTTGTTCAAGGACTTGGATGGCCTGACAGCTCAGTCTACACCTCATTCTCCTCCACTGCACAGAGTTCCCCAGGATATGAGCATCACGGGGCACCATTTGGGGTGACAGCAGCAGGAGGGCTGGGTGACAGCATTTCTACAAAGATCTTTCCTCCAGCGGAAGCTGCACCCCAGTTCCAAAGAGTACACGGCGCTCTGCTGAATGCCAAGCTTAGACTTTACGTGCAAGATCACTTCAAAGGCTACCTTTAAATGATTTGACTTTATTATACAGCAAATCTTCTGTGAAAGCTTATTTCAGCCACTCTCTCTTGGAAGGAGATTATAGTCATGCTCTGTTACTTCAAGCACATACTCTCTCCCCAGTGATTAGGTAACTGAATCCACCACATTTATTGGGCTTGGTTCCTGCCAGCACCAGGAAGATGGGGAAAAAATGCAAATGCCAATGTTTCCCAAAGTTAAAAGTACAGCAACACACACTCTTTTTATCGGGCCTTGCTTCTCCTCTTTGATCAGCCGTCAGAAACTATCTTCCCTCGGCAGTCTGGACTGGGCAGCGTCAGCGCACACTCTCTGCCAATGACAGGTGGTAATAGAGAGGGTGCGAGCCCCAGCCCCGGCAGGCGGCCCTGCCTCTGATAACGGCCCAAGCATCGAGGTGATAACCATTCGTAAACACTCCGACAGCCGGTGACTCCATACATCAGCAAAGAGGGCCAGATAATCCTGGGCTCTCCTGACCAGACAAAGGCCCTTGGCCAGTCCGCTGGGGTTTCTATGTGTGGCTGGGGTCACTCCTGGCTCCTGCATGTCATCAGCCAAGTTTGGCTTTGATTTATCTCCTGCCTAATTCGAGGGTGGATTCCTGGTGCCGGAGGAATGGGCAGCGTCTATAAATGCATCTCCCCACGAAGGGGCCCACCTGGGGCGGGGGTTGCCGGGGATCAGCTTGCTAGGTGGGACCCTGGAACGGGGACCTGCTCCGTACCCCGTCCTCTCCCCATCGGGCAGGGTCAGGTGATGGGCCTGGGGAGCCGGGCGCTAGGCGGTGGGGCCGGAGTGCTCAGAGTGTCAGCCCTCCAGAGGCCTGGGCTGTGCTCGTCTTGCCCCGGAGCCCACATTCAGTATCAGCGTCAACCACAACTCAAAGGTGCCCAGTCCCCAAGGACACACAGGGACTGACGACACCCAGCGGGCTGGCGAGTCCACCGCCCACTCACTAGGTGGGGAGAGGCAGGCCCCTGCTTGTCCCTTTTCCATGTCTGAAGTGGAGCTAATAACACTTTGCCCTGTGTCAAAGGAGGGGAGAGACTAAGTGAGGTTCCTGCCAGCTCTCCTAAAGCACTGCCCCACTCTCAATTGACAAGATCAAGAGCTACAGCACTAGTGTTCCTCTGAAGGGTCTGCCTGGGACGTCTATGCCTAGTAATTTACAGAAGAGGAGAGTAACAAGAATACACGGGCACACTCCTCTTCCCTTTGCGCTCAGGGCCGAGGTGGCAGCTGCTGCTGCTTCTTTTTAATGGACAGAGATGTCCCAGAGCCTGGGAAAGGAAAGAGAACCACTGTTCCTTCTCTCATTTGCAAGAGCACGGTGCCTGCCTTGAGAAAGGTGCTCCATTAAGGTGTGTATGGACTGTGTTCGGAAGTCACGGCAGGTAAGCTGAGAGCAGGACCAGGAGGAATATCAGAAGCCAAATGAAGAACACAGCAAGGCAATGCAGCAGGTGTCAGAGCAAAAAGTGTGCAGGACAGAGGCCGTGACAGAGGGTGAAGGCCAGAGGAGTCTGCAATATTTTAAGGGACAAAGTGACAGGATACAGGAGAAAAAGATCAGGAGTTAGTGTTATAGTGGAGAACGGAAGCAGAAATATAGGATCCACACAGATGAGCTGTATGTGTACTGGCTCTGGGCAAGCTGATTATCTTTCTGGGCCTCTGACTCCTCATCCATAAAAGTGGAAAAACAATACAATCTCATAGGGGTGTTGCAGGGTGTGTGTTAGATAAATGGCATATGGTGAGTACTCTGCACATAACTGGTATGCTCGTGTATGTTAATAATAACAAGTTTACACCATGTGAAGCATCATCATAGATGCTGACTATCACGATCCTGAGAGGCAGGACAGGTACCACTCCAGCATACGGAAGAGGAGCTAAAAGTGCAGAGAGATTCAGGGGTAGGCTCAGGGTCTCTGAGTGACAGATCTGGAACACAGGCTGCTAGTCCTTAGCTGGGAGCTCATTCTATCAGCAGCATCTGCCCTGGAGAACTGTTCTAGGGAGAAATCACCCCTGTCTTTCTTAACTTGTTCTGGGAATTCCTGTCACCTTCAACCATGACCTTTTAAACATGCCTCCCATTCCCAACCTGCCCAAGTTTCTTGGAGTATCATGATCAAAGCTATAACAAACCTAGACAGTGTATTAAAAAGCAGAGACATCACTTTGCTGACAAAGGTCCATCTAATCAAAGCTATGGTTTTCCCAGTAGTCATGTACAGATGTGAGAGTTGGATCATAAAGAAGGCTGAGTGCCAAAGAATTGATTCCTCCAGCACTGTGGTGCTGGAGAAGACTCTTGAGAATCCCTTGGACAGCAAGGAAATAAAACCAGTCAATCCTAAAGGAAATCGACCCTGAATATTCATCGGAAGGACTGATGCTAAAGCTGAAGTTCCAATACTTTGGCCACTTGTTGGGAAGAGCCGACTCACTTGAAAAGACCCTGATGCTGGGACAGATTGAAGGCAGGAGGAGAAGGGGACGACAGAGGATGAGATGGTTGGATGGCATCACCGACTCAATGGACATGAGTTTGAGCCAACACCAGGAGACGGTGAAGGTCAGGGAGGCCTGACGTGCTGCACTCCATGGGGTTGCAAAGAATCAGACACGACTGAGTGACTAAACAACAAACAAATCATGATTATGCTGAGGAGCCATTCTGTGTGTTGGATGGCACCCAGGAGAAAAGAAAAATTGATAGGAGATCCGGGAACCCTCTTACACTGTTGGTGGGAATGCAAACTAGTACAGCCGCTATGGAAAACAGTGTGGTAACCATGGCTGAGTCTTGTCAATGTATGACAAAAACCACTACAATATTGTAAAGTAATTAGCCTCCAACTAATAAAAAAAAAAAAGAAAAAAGAAAAATTGATAAGAGATCCAATCTTCTCTCTCTTAGCAAGGGTGCTGTGAGGAAGCAGGGGTTAGGAGGCTGGGGATACAAAAGGGAAGTGAAGTGTTGGTCACTCAGTCGTGTCTGACTCTTTGCAGCCCCATGGACTGTGGCCCGCCAGGCTCCTCTGTCCATGGAATTTTTCAGGCAAGAATACTGGAGTGGGTAGCCATTTCCTTATCCAGAGGATCTTCCCAACCCAGGTCTCCCACACTGCAGGCAGATTCTTTCCCAGCTGACCCACCAGGGAAGCCCCTTCCCAAGCAAGTGCTCAGCAAAGGAGCATCCGATCATTTCTACTGTCCCGAGAGGCCGCAGGGGGGATGTGCTCAGTGGTCCTGCTTAGCCGGTGAGGAGGAGTCGAAGCAGAGGCTCGGCAGCGCCCCTTCCTGCCCATCCTTCCAGCCCTCAGTGTGGACGAGGGCAGCAAAGGAGCTCACGCGGCCTCCTCGTCCTGGAGGAGAGAAGGGCTGCAGGTGTGTGCGCGCGTCAGCAGGCGCCGGGGTGAGAGGCCAGGCCCTGGGGAGACTGAGGTCACCTCTGCGCTCTTAGGCAACCGCATATCTTGTCAGCGTGCTCGACGCTGCCATCATTCATCTGGCCGGCCCACAGACACTCCATCAGATGGGCTGGCCCTTTGAGCCCCATTATGGGGGGGGAAGGGTCAGTTTCAAGGGGGAGAAGACACTTAGTGCAGGCTGCTGGCAAAGCACAAAATACATGTACTTAGCAACTCAGATCTTTAGCTGAAGCAACCCTCTGCTGTTTACCAAGCCCTTTCACGTTGATTATTTTGGTGAACTCACACATTCATCAAATACAGATTCGTGTCCACTGTGATATGAGTCAAGCACCGTGCTGAGGGGTGGGGATACAAAGTGAGCCAAAAAAAAAAAAAAAAGGCCCAAAAAGCTCGGGGAGGCAGCCGTGATCACCATTTCACAGATCTGTATTTTACTGAGACTGGCAGCAGTGAGACAACTGAAGATCACCGGTCCTGAGTGTGACAGTCTTCCCTGATACTTCCTGGGAGCCCCTTCCTTCAGGCCCACCTCCCACCCTACTTTTCCCAGAATATATTTCCTAAGATTCAGTTTAAGTCCCATTGGTGCAAGGAAATGTTGTTATAATGATAATCGAAGTTATCAGGAGCACTC